GAGACTTTAGTCTTTGCAACTTTACAGATCTTCTTTATGTACCAAGAGCTTGTAACATCATCGCATCATATGACCCCTTTAAACAAATCAGAATTTCACTTGTGTTTATCCTATTTGAATCAGACAGTGAAAATACTGCAACATTTTGTTTTCATAACACATACCTTTATGCTTAAATGCTGAATATATATATACAGTGGTGTGAAAAAGTGTTGGCCCCCTTCCATCGTCCAGACATAGAGAAAAGACTGTAACATAAGCTGCATTTCAATTAATTGTGCAGACCTAATAGCACGTTAGCCGCGTAAATAACGTAGTGAATAATCTCACCTTCGTCCGGACACATTCGTCGTCTTCTCTTCTTTCTTAATGGATGATCATATCCAAGCCAAAGTTCGGGATATGGATTTTCTGTCGATGGTTGTCTGTCCACAAAGTGGAATGAGCATACATGGACGTTACGGGGCGGACATTTCAAATTAAGTGCTGCGAGCCATTGGCTTTTAACCTCGTCGTCGGATGGCATCTTGTGCAATTTAAAAGGTCTTGGGCATTTACATTCTGCTCTTATTGTTGGCTTGTGTTCATAACACTCTTGATCAAGAAACATTTTGAGCTTTCTGTAGCTGTTGTGACAGCCTTTAACAGCACAAAATTTCCCAGAGCCTCCACGATTCGCCATTACCGCTAACTTATGACAATTACTAAACGGAAGTTCGAAGCATCCTACAGGAAGTCACTCGCCGCTATGGCGCCCTCCATGGAGAAGCGAAGAAAAAGGTCTATATGTTGGCTTGTGTTCATAACACTCTTGATCAAGAAAATTGTTGAGCTTTCTGTAGCTGTTGTGACAGCCTTTAACAGCACAAAATTTCCCAGAGCCTCCACGATTCGCCATAACCGCTAATTTATGACAATTACTAAACGGAAGTTTGAAGCATCCTACAGGAAGTCACTCGCCGCTATGGCGCCCTCCATGGAAAAGCGAAGAAAAAGGTCTATAGTTAAGAAAATTAAGAGGAAAGTATCCATACCATTTGTCCATCTTTGCCTGGTAGTCCTTGTGCGCCTTGATTGCCAGTAGACCCCTAGAGAGAAAACATAGCATAATGAATAAAACTTGTTTTCAGTGAAAATATCTGAAAATGTTTAATATTTTATCTTATAATGTATAAATAATCAGGATGAACTTAATTTAACCCGTTGATGCACAACATGGGTCTAAAGTGACCCGACTGAGCTTAATTTTTCTATATCTTTGCAAGAAATTAATTTTATCATTCAGAATTCCAGGAATTCCTCAATTAACTTGTTTTTGAACATCACAAATCCTTATTTTTATTTTTTTCCCTTTACTTTTTGAATAAAAATAGTTTTTGTGTCACCACCCTTCTAATGCACAACATGGGTCTAAAATGACCAGTATTATTTAAATTTGAGTGTTTCTTTGCTGAATCTCTGAAAGAAATGTTTTTCTATCATTATTCCATATATTCTTTAAATGTCTTGTTTTGACTTACACAAGTTATTATGTTTATTTTTCCTTTCTTATATTATAAACAAACAGAGTTTTTGTATTTCAACATCAATTTTACACACATTTCTAAAATGACCCATTTTCATTTCCTATGTTATTTCAATCATGGCTAAGTGTTTCTTTGCTGAAGGTAACACTTTATAATAACTTTCATTTATAAATCATTAACAAACATTATATAATGCTTAACAGATCATTAGTTAATGTATATGATCTACATTTGTTGGTCTCTGTTTGCTGAGTCGACCTCTATTTATATCTCTATTTTAATCTATTAGTTATTTGTTAGTATTTTTGCAGTAGCCAATCTAAAGTTGAAACTATTCATCATTTGCAAATGTTTATACATGTTTATTAATCATTAATACCTTTATGAGCAGTCATCTCGATGGCAAAAAGTGTCCCGAAAGACCTGAATTTACCCTATTCACACATCTTTACTGATCATTTATTAATCATTTGTTCTTGTTTTTGCAGTAGCCAATCTAAAGTTGAAACTATTCCTCATTTGTAAATGTTTATAAACGATTACTAATCATTTAGTATCTTTATGGGCATTTGACTTTTAGCTACTGTAACAAGGTTTGTGTAAAGGGTGGCTGGTTAAGTTTAGCTAATGTACTCACATTAGTATACTACTCTTCAGTGTATCATTAAACAGGATATTTATTGACTCATAAATAAACAGGAGAAAACAAATACTTGTTAATTTATCAAAACAATATAAACAGATTGAACTGCTCCCTTATAGTAATCAAACTGACCCCTTTAACCAACCCTTAAACCTACCCATACCACCAAACCTGTGCCTAACCTTACCCGAATCACACCTCAATAGCAGCAAAAGTGTTGTGCATTAACACAAGCTTTTAATCATTTTATAACATCTGTTAAAATCATTTGTAGATTTTCAATAAGTGCTTGATCATATGGAATTGAAAGTTTAATGACATTTGTAAGCATTTTAACTTACATGAAATAATGATTTGTTTGAACATTATCTAATGTTTAATACGTTTATTAGCAAACATTAACAAGCACATTATCTCCCGTTTCTAACTCTTTGAATATATATTAACTAATGATCCATTAAGCATTTTATTATGTTTGTTAATGATTTATTAATGAAAGTTATTATAAAGTGTTACCGCTGAATCTTTGAAAGAAATGCATTTTATCATTTATTATTCCAGGTATTTATTAAATATCTTGTTTTTGATTTCCACACATCATTATGTTTATTTAAACACATGGGTCAAAAATGACCCATATAGGAACCTTTGATTTTTTTTTTATTTATATATATATTTTTTTACAAGTAGGAACAAATATTTACTGCAGAAAACTATTCACCTGCCCCACATTTCACAACTCAACATGGCTGCTTTTGTATAACTGATACATGTAAGTCTTATTTTATAATTGTATACCATAGAAAATATTTCATATATTTTGAAAGATAACTGGATATAATATTTGAATGTTAGGCTAAAATTACCTTGACCTTGAAATCCATTACTAGTGAGTCAGAGAAACATGTAAAATACTATTAGCTAGCTTGTTGTTGACATATTCTATTTTAGATAGCTAATGTTAGTTAGGTCAACAAAATAAAAGTCAAAATAATACGTTATTATTATTTACAAGTATATATCATTGCTGTCAAGAGGAAACCTTGTATCTCCACATTTCATCATTTTTATTTTTTGTCATAAATCAATGCTATTGGTCACCCTTTATGTCTGTCAGTGTTCCTGAAAAGTAACAGTTTTGGACATACAAGGTTTCTGTCTGACAGTGACAATATATAATCAGTATATACATGATCAACTGTTTGTTGTGCATTTTAATTTTTTTCTTTTGATTTTCTTTATCCAGAGTGTTAGTATGGCTGATCCCAGTCAATCTAGATTAACGGCCGAAATGTTTGTAGAGATGCTACATGAAGAATGGGATGAAGAAGATCAGACAAATCTTAGTCCTGATTCAGAGTCGGAAAAATCTGATACACTATGTGCCACAGGGTCAATCTGGAGTTGTGGGTGTAAATCCAGCTCTCCTGAATGAAGAAGGCTCAGTTGATGACATTGAAGACTTGTCTAATGAGTCCTCTGAAGAGGAAACTCGGACCCAGTCCAACAGATTGAGTAAATATGGTTTGCACCTACTCATGTAAGCAGAGAACACCTAGGTGGCCCATGGTGCTGTGGTGCAATGTGCTGGATGTTACCAGCCTCAATGACTACACCAGGGGCGACCAACGTTGGTCCTGGAGTGCCACAGTCCTGCAGAGTTCAGTTCCAACCCTAATCAAACCCACCTGAGCAAGCTAATCAGGGTCTTAGGGTTACTGGAAAGCAACAGGCAGGCGAGTTTTTATCAAGGTTGAAGCAAAACTCTGCAGGAGTGTGGATTTTCATGACCGAGGTTGGCCACCCCTGCCTACACCAACTTCACTGCACAACACCATTACATGGGTGGTGTGACCAATGCACGACTGCTATTCATCAAGGAGCTGGTCAAAGAGCTTGTCATGCCACATATGAAGAGGTGCTTGGAGGGCACACCCCACCTTCAACATCATATTACAGAGGTAATGGGAAGATGTGGGACAAAAAAATAAAACACAGCCACCACCTGGCCACAAGAGGACATCAGGCAGGAAGGCCAATCGAAGAGGAAGAGGTGCAGGATCTGCCTGATGTTCCCAGTGCACCAGGCCTGTGTGCAAGGAGCACAAACGTGTAGTTGTCATTTATGAGGCATGTATGCACTGAGATAGCAATTTGAGATGGCACTGTACCCACGTGATTTCATTTTGTCAGTTTTATTTTCAACTACTTGGTCACATTCACTACAATTCACTATAGTTGCGCTACAGAGAGTTCAATTTCAGTGTTATCGGTTATCAGTGATATGTGTATGTTATGTGTGACAAAGTGGCAAATAAACATTGCAAGTGTTAAATGTGTTGGCATAACTGCTAAAATAATTATTTTAACAAAATGTCTTTATTCTTTTGTTTTATCACGCTTGCATAGATGGGTCATGTTTGACCCATTTGTGTAAACTTGATGTAGTAACACAAAACCTAAGAACAAATAAATAAAATGAAATATTAGTTTGTGGTCACTGAAAAAAGATATTTGGAATATTCATGAATCTTGGAATTCATAAATCATGGAATATTAAATGCTATAATAAACTGATTTTAAAAGATTTTTAAAAAAATGCCCAGCCAAGCATGAAATAACAGGAAATTAATACGGGTCATTTTAGACCCATGTTGTGCATAAGAAGGGGGTTGCACAGCTTGTGCATCAAAGGATTAAAATTATTCAAATTCAAACTGGTATACAAAGCTTTGCAGCGGCTTCAACTAGTATTTGGAGACTTCCAAATTACACAAAATATACAGTAGAGATGTAACTGTTTGGAAGCCTTTCACACATGGAAACCTTAACGCTTCTTTTTGTTGACAACAGGTTTTTAAACTATTCTAATTATACATTTGGGAAGATGGTTGGCACACGTTCCCAAATGCCAATGATAAGCGACTGTAGCAAATTAGCTCAACAGGGAAATGTATAGAAATAATTACAGTTAATTATGATTAATTACAATTATTTATATCAGCTGCCAGTAGTAACTGTAGCAGAATTAAATTGCCATTAACCAATCTGTTCGTCCAGCGAACATTCAATGTAAGTTCATATCAACTCTAGCAAAGAATATTTCTGTGGCCACAGAAAATACTTTCATACAGTATTAATGCATTAGAGCACGTAGTAAGGATCAAAATCGTAAAGGGACAATTAATTTGCAAGGCAGAATCAGAATGTACTCATGTAATTTGTGCACAAGAGTTTTATTAACTAAACACTAACACAAACTAGTCTAACAAACAAACAAACAATATGTTTATTGGGTGAGGGGTCTGTGAATGTTTGTTAATCTAATGAATAATTGATTTGTTAAATCTAATGAAAAATTGTGTGTCTGATTGGTCCAAATGCTACATAATTCCCCCCTTTCGAAAGTTGTTGTCCATCCAATAGACAACTCTGGCTGTTGGTTGCCTGCAGGAGTGGTTATGGTGCTGTCAGGCGGTGTGCTGTGGTGATGTAGGCTGTAGCAAGGTGCGGGTCCTCGAGCTTATGCAGCAGGTGTTGAGGCTGTGTCACCTATCATCCTGAAAAGAGTTGGTCTGGGTAAGATGGTTGTTTGTCGATGTTGTTAGCCAGTAGGCTAACCGTGGTACCTGCGGTGTGGAACAGCCGGGTTAGACTCTCACTGGTGAGAGTGCAGGTGGTTCCTGGGGTCGCAGGGAATTGTTATGGAGATTTTGTAGTGTGCAGAGAGTTTCAGACTGACCTAGTGATGGTGGCAGGAGGGCAGCAGGTGGTTGTTAGCTCTCTGTTCTGTTCTAACGTCACCAGAAGTCTGATGTTTGTGGTGTCGCTTTGCTCTTGTGGCAGCACCGACAGGAGCCTGCCTGATTTGTGTTGGTAGAAGTTTCACTGTTGGGCCTGTGGGCCCGATGCTCTATCC